TTAAAGTGTCAGTGTAATGGTTGGTGATCACGACGTGTCTGAATTTACGGCTTATGACGGTAACTTGTTAAAATGCATGCCTTTGAATTGTAAAATATTAAGTTTTTTAATTATACGTTTATTGTATAGGTTATCTGGCTGGACCTTTAAGATAGTTTATTGTTTTATACACAAGGATTTTTATGATTGTATATATAATTAAAGAAATTGCATTAATTCTTCAAGTAAAGAGGAATTTGGTTTTTTCATGTATTAGACTTGCAAGAGAAAGTGCATCCCTACGATTATCCACTAGGTGATCCTACTGGCAGTTATAATAGGTACAATACGTGTTTCGTATTAGGAGTTAAAATCAATTATCATATTTCACTTTCGATAAGGTTATTCCTTGGTCGGCATTGATCAAAATCGTTGTTAACTTAGCTGTGTCGGCGACAGATTTCTCAATTGATATATGGCCTTTGATAGCGGTTGTCTCATTAGTGTTTGCCGATATCGACTTTTTGCAAACTTAATTACTTGAACAAAACGTTACCATACTCTTTTAATAACTTGGGCCTTCGATGTTATCAAAGCAAGGTAAATTTTATGGCTTTAATAAAGGCGTTCTACCCGTGTTTGTGATCATTTACAGCATAAAAATATTTTAAATTTCATAGAATGTTGGACCTGCAATTCTGCAGTAACATCTTCAAGTTGTTACTCACATTGTTTAGTTTTCAAAATATAATTTTGCGAGTATTTTTGTATTGGCCAAGTAGTGTTCGGCCTTGATGCAACGGCAGACTGAATATTTTAGTGCAAGAAAATAAAATAAACAGTTTTCAGAGGCATGTTGTATTCCTGAGCTATTCTCATAAGTACTAGTACTTCTGTTATTTCATTCGTAAGCAAACTTTTAATTGGCTTTTAGCTACTCCAGCGAGGCACGGTAATTAGTTGAATGCATGAACTGTGACTTTTTTGCTACTTAATTTTTTAGCCTTTTGCCTCAACATAATACACTTTATGTAACGCAATAACGTTGTTCGAAAATGCTAATTTTGTGAATGTATGATTTAATTATTTTTTCATTATGAAATTAGTTGTTTCGTATGTATAATTATAATTACTTAAATGAAGATGGGTGTTTTTATTTTATCTTATTAAAACATTAATATTGGCATAGAATACAATTTATATTTTGGTTACAAAATTTACTTTTAACAAAAATAATTAAATTTGCGTATGTACATTCAACTCACTTGCCATATATGGATTGCTGTTCATCGCAACACATTTCTTCATCTTGACCATTACAGCGGCCAACTTTATAAAATTCACATTTATCTTAATCACTTAAAGATCTTTTGAGGTTCCAACCCAAATAAATAAACTCTAAAGTAAATCTGTGTGCAACTTGTTAAAAAAATAGAAGATACAATGTTTTAAAGTATAAATTCTAGCAAACGATCAAATGTATTTTTTTACATGAGAAACTTAATATATGCGAACGAGATACATGTCGCCATCTGACAGCCGTCCTAATTTTAGTCTACTAGGCTCATTCTGATATATCTTTAAAGCCCTTTTGAATTGGTTAAGCACGCTAATATTTCGAATTTTAGACGGTAATTGAATATATAATTACACACCCTCATATTTAATAGACTTCTTCAAATAATTTGTAATTTAAAAGTATGACATATGCTATCGCTAAGGCAACCTTTTAAGAATTTTCAAAATCAGTTCAGTAGATCAAGAGATGTTCAGGGAAGCTATACCTCACAAACTATTTATAATATTAAGTATAAATAACGTATATATCACAAATTATTTTCGAACTACAAAATTTATAAAAGTAACCCGTGTGAAAATAGTAGGAATAGTTTATCCATCGAATTCTGTTTAATAACTTCTATTTGTTTAACTATTTTGTGGGCACTGACGCGTACTATTTGTGCTTTCATTTGACGTATGTGTTTACTAGGGTTGTCAGCCCTCTGCTTTTGACCAACGCTCAACTGTTCAAACAATACATAAACTTTATGATTTATTGATCATTCTGCAATTTAATTCTTTCGAAACAATTCAACGGTCGTTTTAGCGACCGTTTCACTCTTTACACTTTGGTTTACTCAATTCTTTTTCGTGTTCTCCAGCCCTTTGTTTACTCTCGCTAACACATTTTGTGTGGCATGTAAACATTCATAAAGATTTCCAATGCTTTATCATTGGTAAATCCAAACGCTTCCTGTTACTTTAATTCTTACTCAAACACGTCCTTCAATTTGGAGTTGTTTAGTCTCAGTTCAAGAGCCACTAATTTTAGCTAATGTGTGTTCTGTTTGTAAATAAATTTGAAAGGTTTTCGTGATGAAAGTTGAATCAACAAATATAGATTTTTGATGTGAAACATCTATAGCCGCACGTAAAACCGATTTCTGGCGTGGCGACGCATGCCGTGGCGACGCGACGCCACGCTATATGATGGTATATATATATACAGACTATAGGCAGTAGTGTGTACGGTGTGCGTATGTCGAAGTCACTGATTAAACGAATAATTAAGTAGTCACGATTTGAAAAAAAATCGTAAATTTTTGTATTTAATGAAAATAAATGTCAATTCAATAAATAGTCATCATCGTTATCTGGAAAAAAATCGTAATATTTTATTTTATCATTATGACATATTTAGTTCCTATCACAATCTGTTATTTTCAACATATTACTTTTACAAAATAATGTCGATGTTTCACATCTGCCAGGCGTCCCGTGACGGCTCACATTTTTTTTAAATATTACTATCAGTAATGACATTAAATTTTTATTTAAGCAATTGAATGATGTATTTGTATAGTTGAACATGATGTGATTTAATGGAAGCTTAGACGGCCTGATTGATAGGAACATTTCCTGGTCCATTCTTGTATTGTTTTCGCAACAGTAATGATGTGTATTTGCTCATGCAATGCATTGCTATCATTATGTCAACGACGCACATTTTGTGCAGCAATAGACTGCCTTTTTTACGATGAATGGTTTAATGGGGTCTTACTTTAAACGAAATTAGAATATGTTTATATCTTCCTCAAAATTTGGACTTCAACTACGTCTAACCTGTGTAAAGAGGAGTTAGTTTGGTAAAGAAGCTTCTGGTTTTATGAATCATAGAAGCTTTACATAAGAAGTAAAAAGCTTAAACTTAGTTTAAGCCGTAACCTTACTAACAAGATATTAATTTCTAACCCTATTATAAGGTACTTCACTGTAAGTCGAGAAGGCTTTTATAGAAAATTAGCCCACTGAGCGAACAGGTGATTAGGGTCATGCACTCCCATTACTTGAAGATCGTGTAGACCTTACGAGAAAACCTTTACATATTTACATCTCTTAAAGTTATTAAATAATACCTCACATTTGAAAGGAAAAGTATTTTTCACTAAGGTATTTTGATACATAATCTTTCTTGCAAAAACCAGTGATGCGTTACGATCTATTATAATACCTATCAAAATATATATCAATGATATTTCAAAATGGTTTACGTAATAAATTCCATTTTAGGTTTGGTATTTGAGTTATTTAGCTTTGGTTTTCGAGAAATTTATCACCGTGAAATCTAAAGGTAATAAATTATCATTAAGTAGAGATAAGTAAATCATAACGGCACTAAACAGTGATGTCAAATTTATCATAAATTTGCCTTTGGAAAGGGAATTTAGGTATTTAAAGGGTTATGTTTCAATTAAATAATAGCTTGTCGTAAATCTTAAATTTATTCCTATAATTACAAAAAGCTAAGTATAGAAAATGTAAAACTATAACCTATGATAGACATATATATATCATTAGTATACAAAAAGAAAGTATTGCTTAGTGTAAAAATGTACTGTACATAAGCGTTGTATTATGTATATCTCAATTGAATTTCGTTCAATTATTGTAAGCGCGTGTAGCGAAAATTATTCTCAATCGTAAAAACTGTGTCGACAGGTTCTTTTCTCTCGCCGCGTGCACTTTGCACGTCCTCTACCCTTTTCACAAAATCCAAGGTGACATTTCTCTACACTTTATCTGATAAACGAAACGTGGGGTCCGTGGAAAGTGGCGGAACAATAATTGTAATTCCAACAATGTCCCTATCACCGAATGCCAGTATTATTCGGTTTTGATAATTTTGTACACTATTCTATCGTTTCGTAATGTGCGATAGTCGTTTGTCTTTGAATATATAGACCTAGATATTAGCTGCCATAGATACTGTTACGTAAATCTGTCGTATTAATTCTCATAGTATTTCATTGATTGATAAAAATAAGAAAAATAAGCGTGTTAATATGGTGGTAACAGCAAAATTAATTTTGAAACTAAAATGGCGACATAGTATTCTTAGAATTACAATAAATATCAGTTTTTACCATCCAAGGCATTGTTAATACTAACAGATGGCCGTTAATCAAATTCTAAAAACCAGATGTGAGGGTTAACAATGTTCTAGTCAGTGCACAACTTAATTACTTATGTGTAATATATAAATTTCAATATTTAACAAAAGAGTAACGGTGATAAATTTCTTGAAATCGTTATTGATTTTCTAACGGCTTTGGTCGGTCTATAAGCTATCAAAACATACAACGTGTTGATAACACAGTTCAAGAGTTCCTCAAGCCTCCTGCAAACTACTAAATCCACTTTTACCACTCAAAGCATTGTTATCTTGTTATTACAATCCCTTTGACTATCTTTGATAAACAATTATATTGGCAAATTCTAAACTATGACAAGTCACGATATTGTTGTTTAACGAGAGTGTGGCACGCAAATATTACAATAAATGACTATTATAACTACTGTACCTTTCAAGGATACTGACTGATCTACTTTAAAGGAATATAAATGTACATAAGCTATTTGTTAAAGATAACTACGAGCAAGCCAGGATCATCGAAAAATAAACTACGAAATATATTTAACCAGTCGTTAATTTTTTAATAGGTATTTAGTTCAAAATTAAGATGACAATCGATAGAGCTGGTAGGCCCCCTGCGCCAAGAAGAAGCTCCACCTACAAAAGTTACGATGAACTTGGTCACATCGATAGAGGCAAACCACTTAGACATCGTCACGGTGGTGTCGAAGATCTTAGCGGATTGGAATCCAGACCACAAAGGTCATACGATACCCATGATTTAGACAATATAACTCTCCTTAGCTCTGAAGAAATACAACGACCGAAAAGAAAAACAATTGAAGGTCTTGCAAGCGGTTTTAGGAGAACTTTCTCTGTTAGAAGTAAAAGGGACGAATCGGATGCAATACCAATGGATACATTTAGCGTGACCGGTGAAAACTTCGCTACCGTAAGAGGAGCGCCGTTTGGAAGACGTAGATCTCTTTCTAGAGACCGTGAATCTTCACTCCTGGGTAGAAGCTCGTCTGAAGGAGACGTGAGAATGCCGCCTCCTCGAGCTCCACCAGCCAATCCCACTCCACGTCTGCATCGATGTCTTCGCGTTCTTGGTGGAAGCTGGAAGAATCTTTTACTATGTGAGTCTTCGCGACTTATCACTAGCTTGCCTAATCAGAAAACTCCCTAATTAATTGCTGGGAGTGTAGTGCGCTAATTAACACTCTCATCACTAGAACAATGCGTTAACATAACACTTAACATTTAGAAATCCAAACTCCTCTCATTATTCTCCAATTGAAAAGGCAGTTAACCATTTACCGCGGTGGCCCCGTCTGTGTTAATTATTAGTACGACGGGTACAAATGACCAAAAGAGGTTGGTGGCTTTAATTCCATGGCTTATCGTCAAGCTTGACTGCACTAAACGCTTTCTTCTTTTTAAATTATATAATTGTTTATATTTAAAATGCTGATTAATTAGTTGTAGACATTTGATTTATTATCGCGTTACATATTTTCTCATCGACATAATGATCGAATAATGATGGCGGTATTCATTAATTTTCCTGTAATTTATTTTAAATTTGATGACGGTAGAGTTTGTTTCAATGAAAAACAATTCATCCAGTAAGAAACATCTGTTCGCTATGAAGGTCATGCCCACGTCCAATAAAACAGAATCACCTGTAATACAATACGTTATTAACGCTTAGAAACCTTACCCTTAAAATAAAAATAGACTTAAAGTGTAGGAGGAAGATTGTAATCTACATTGAGATTGGGCATAGGTTTCAGTTTCACTTATCGGAATCGTAATTGACACAGTTTGTATAGTGTTTTTAAACCAAATATTTCTGAAGAAAAACAGTAAGTAAAAGTAGAGCATAAGGGGTGTAATGCAAAGCTTATCTCTCGTGTCGAGCTGTACGAAGTGGTCTCACTTAGAAAATTGCCTTTTTAATTTTCCGTTACACTGATTTCAGCCTCCAAAGCACATAAAGATGCGACTTTGTGTTCTCATTCCCCCGTCTAGTCAAAATGTTTTAGAAAATATTAAAATAGTAATTTCACTAAGTATTTTCATTTACATATAGCAGTGTTGGCCTAGTGGCTTCCGCGTGAGACTCTCATCCCTGGGTCATAGGTTCAACCCCTGGCTGTGCATCAATGGACTTTCTATGTGCGCATTTAACATTCGCTCGAATGTTGAAGGAAAATATCGTGAGGAAACCTAATTGCCTTAAATCCAAAAAGTCGACGGCGTGTTTCCTTCTCAGAGGGCTGATCACATACTATTAGATTGACAAGGTTATTAAATTAAATTAAAAAGGTTATAATATAAAGTGCCACTGATTTTCTTTTATTTTCATTTACGTCCTGTTCTCTAAAAATACGACAACAACATTTGATAAATTTTGTTATGCTATTACTTATTTACAGATATATCCACGAATCATTTCTGCTTGCTCTAATTCAATTTGTGTAGCTGACATAACACGTCTAATGTCCGAGGGTCGATGCGGTCTGTCAGCATTTATTCAACATTCGCCAGTAGCGGGATGACAACCTCTCTCTTAGCTAAATTGCTTTTGTTATGTAGATAAATTCATGGACCCTGACGTTTTTATTTGGTTTCCCATTGTAATGCTTGTTAAGGATTATAAATGCTAAACTATTTTAAAGAGAATCATTTTAATAGTTTATCAAAGTGAAATTCTTAAAGGACGAAGAAGCTCTCGTTACGTAATAACTAGAAATGTACTTTTATGCTGTGATTTTCAATCTATGTGGTGTCTATATGTCATGTTTTGAATACATAACATTCATAAGAATCACCTTATGGAATGAGAAAGGTTTATTACCTTGCACTTGCACGATATGGTGGATGGCTGCCGCACATAGATATCATTATCTCCTAATAACAAGTACAGCTATAATTCTTATCAATTTTTGCACGACGGAGGTCATTTTCGCCACCTCACGTAGTCATGGGTTATCTGCACACTGCACGTATCCCCATGAACGGGATATATCTTTATGTTCGTCGTTTTAGACAAATACGACATCCTGCTTGCGTCTTATATTTATTTATTGCAAGTTGTTTGGGAAGTAGCGTCTGCAGATTAGTAATGTTTTCAACATTTGCTTCTATATATTAATCATTTTCTAGCCAAGCCTAATGTGGTTAAATATAATTTATATGCCAACAATAAATTGTGTTTAACTAATACGTAGCTATTATGTATTAATACAATAACAGTCATAGTAAATTAATATAGTTAACAAATTTTCGCAAATCTGACAAAGATAGAGTCAGCTAAGCCCTACCGTCGCCTAAATTAATTCTCCACAATAACAATTAAGGTGAACAATAGACAACCATCTCCGAAGATCTTTGTAAGGCCTCTAATTCAACCTAAGCCGAGGGATGATTGTATTGTCTTATATGTTTTGATATTGTTCTATTAAATTACTACAGAAGATAACATCTATTGTGCCTTTACGTATCTTGATTTAATTAATCATACTTACGCTATTTAGAGCAGTGTTGGCCTAGTGTCTTCAGCGTGCGACTCTCATACCTGAGGTCGTAAGTCGATCCCCGGCTGTGCACCAATCGACTATCTTTGAAGAAACCGACATGTCATAGACCCAAAAAGTCGACGGCGTGTGTCAGGCACTTGAGGCATTTAAAAATGATCATGAAACAGATTCAGAAATCTGAGGCCAAGACCTAAAGAGGTTGTAGCGCCACTGATTTATTTTTATACATACGCTATTTCCTCTTTTATTTACATTTACATTTTTTGTTTTACATTTTTTGTTATTAATTTGCTGTTGAAAATGTTATACTGCTTGTCACGTTATTTTTTAATGAATTGCCTACAATATATCTGTGTAGGTTATCACGCAATTTACCGTCTGTGTTAAGAAAAGTCCAATCATTAATAACAAATCAAAATATCATTAATTTCCAACAAAAGAATTGCCGTATTCAAGAAAATTTCTAATATTTTTCATATTATATTTGTAAAATGGACGGCTATTAAACCGGCTTCTTTTAACAAAATACCCGTCCGTAAGTGGCCATTGTTTCCGAAGATATTTATCGTAATCCAAATGGGACATCTGCAGTCTCAAAATTTACAACTTACTAGGTTGTTATAAGGTTAAAAATCCATTGACTAAGTAATTTAAAAGCGGTATTGTCCATGTTATGTATAGTTTTAAGCTAATTGACACATACGAGAAAGTTAGTGTAATGATCTGTAATAGGCAGGAAAACTGCTATAACATTCATCGACAGTCAGTAATTGTCGCTGCCTGCTTCTTGTATCTTTGAAAATGGTAGTAATTTACTACTTAACTATTTATCTATGTTTACGTCATATTTCTAAATCATCCTCTTAATATCATTATAATCGTTTATATTTCCAGATCTTTGCGCCTTATTTATGTTATTAATATTTCTGTTATTGTACATATATTTAAGTTATTTATTGACCTCTATATTTACTAAATCGCCAGCAATACCATTTTATTCATCCGTGAGCGAAGAGAAAATAATTTTCTTTTGTTCTGCTGGAAATGCGTCCATCGTCTTTGTTTCGTGAAGATTACACACTTCTCCAGCGAAGTCTCATTTGCGAACACCTTAATTTCAGTGGCAACGTCTGTAAAATCCCTGTCGTCATTCATCAAAACAACAATGGCGTTATAAAATGTTGACAGGGTTTTAATAAACCGGGATAAAGTCTTTGTGACTTAAGAAACGGTTCCTTTTATTTGGTCAATGCCTTTGTAAACACAATTAAATTAAGATTTCCTTATTATTGACTCTTTGTTTTTGAAAATTAGACACTTATTAAATTGACACAATTTGTGTGTGTTAAATTTATTAAATTAGTTGACATTTAATCATGACAAACATTTGTAACAAATTTGCAACTATCAACCAGATTTCCAAAAAATTACTCCTCACACAGCTTCGCTATCAAATCACAATCTCGTCTAGCGTATTGAGTACGGAGTTGTACAAATCAATTATAATACCAACATCGAAAGGTATAATGCGTAGTTCCCAGCTAAATTCAAGGCTGTAAATAGCGTAAAAAGAGTCCCCCTCGAATTCTTAAGGCCCGTCAGGTTGGATCCTATTGACTATTATTCGAAAGCACCATGTGCCCTTTGTGAAATTTTCAATACCCTACATTGTTCGGCCCGCGCCTCTTTATTTCGATTTTACCCTTCTGAGGGCACACATTTCTATCCTGATCTCCGTTCATTTTTGACAAAAATATCGCTTTCTACCGTCTAGAGTACCGTGTTATTATGTGATTCACACATACACAAGTCTGTTATCATAGTTTTTTTCGTTGTCAGCCAGTATTTTATTTCTCACGTTAAAACTTATATTCATTTGTATTAAACATATAAATTGGTCACACTGTTCTGCTTCACTTTATTATTTGACCCTATCAATGCGTTCGGATTACAATGGATCACAGTGTGCGTCGTCGCTAGTAATTCGATCAATTCATGCTCTTTGTTTGTCTCGAATCCGATTTGTTCCCCTTCGATCAGTATTAGCTCATTTTTAAAAGCACTCGCATGTCATATTTAATGTATCATTGGGAATCTTTATCTGTACCGTTAAGTTGTTGAAAGCTTTCTATACATCTTTTGTTTTTTTGTATTTGCAATTAATAAACCATTTCTAGTTTTAGTTTTAATGGATTCGAGCTAGTAAGCAAAAACTTCTACAGTATGTACTGCGACCTACTCAGAATACTTTAAATTATTAGTTTCACGTTTTCATTCTATTTAAGCTTCTCTTTTGAGTTTATTTTCCTTCGTTATCGTTTGTCTAATCTCGCATCGTCTCTTATAAAATAGATTACTTTTTAAAGTTATTCAAATTGGATTTTTATACGCAATTATTAAGTTAATTTAAAACTATCACACGCATATCGTTACTCGGCAATTACCAGTTTTTTGGCTGTACTGCGCCTACTAAAGTCACGATTCACTATTAACACGAATTGTTGCCCAATCTATATGTATGAACAACTAATGTAAGGGAAATGTTGAACCATATTTAAGTCTGACCACGTGTATAATTGACAAGCGGTTGCTTAGACTAAATTGTACAATAGACTAAACTTAGGGACCTAAATTTCGTAACGAA